AAATGAAATTTTTAATTGTTGATCAGAATTACCCCAACAGACTCTATCAATGTCGATAATTCCAATATAATTTAGTCAGTAGTTTTTCGTCATAAGCGTTGTCTTCAATTACTTGTGAAATCTGATTAGATACAGTTGATGGATACATAAAAACTACAAGATTTCTCATCGATTTTTTGCATTCGAGTCGGATGTTTTGAATGGTAATTGAATTTAGGTGAGATGGTAGTAATTTGACAAAGAATAATCAAAAAAATGTATCGAAAGAAACGCTCTGTTCTCGTCATTCTCATGTATCGATCTGTTAAGGAATGTGATATTATCATATGAAGCAATTCTAAGTAAAGTCATTTCGCAGGACCATCGGTCGATGGAAGAATACGTAAATGATCATTGAAAATGAATTGATGAACAAACGGTATTGATGATGAAGATGATCGTTCCACTTGAGTCTTTTCGAACGGCGCAATCAATTTTCGTCATTGATTATTAGATACTAATCTTCGATCGATCATGATTAATGATGATAAAAGAAGTTCAGATTTCAAATCTGTCAATGTATCAAATCATTAATCTTCATCGACACGTTTGTCTGAATATTCATGAGTGGTTATAATCTTGCTATCAGCATTATACTTGAAAGCAATACATAAATAAGATAAATAGATGCGAACGATGGAATTCGTTGGTGGTTGTCAACGTCTCTGTACAATATTCAGAGTCTGGTATCTCATCAGGTATACATACGGTTCATTATCTAGACAAATAAGATACCGTATGTATAAAAATATTGAAAGAATAGTGATAATTGATTAATCAACTTTGTTTATTTTTCAGTTTTGATAATAGTAATGTATCCTCTATATCATGTTGACATGTTAGGTTCTTATTCAAAAAGTTAGCTTTTTCAAAATGAACACATCAAAACGATCGTATCAAAATTCCAATGTCGGATTCAGAAAGCTCATCGAAAACTGCATCAGATTTGATATTTTTTAGCAAGAAAAAAAAATGTCTTGATATGCGCGTCCTCAATCAATACTCCGTCAGAGAAGCAAAGGCATTAGAAAAAATTTTTCTCAAAAATGGAATTCCGAAGCTTGGTGGCATATATGGTTCGATAGAGCAAAAGACGCTATACCTTGTACTATATTTTGTTTTCTCGCTGAACGTATTTTTGAAGTATAAATAGGCGAAAACAAAAAAAGTTGACGATTTTTGACAGAGTTTTTATGTCTCTTTATTCAGCTGGAAATTGTAGTCTAATGTCAGATTCATGTTCAGAGTGAAAAACTGAGTCGACTGATCTATTTTAGAACTATACTAAAAGGAATCCCATTGGCTCGCGGGCTATGATGCTCTAGTACGCCATCACACATGTCATATAATTTCATTCATGATTCCAATACAAGACTCTTTTGGAATTGTTAGAATAATAATTCACAGAACCCTTTTATATAGTTTTGTAGAGCTTTTCAAGGACTATACAAATGAACATAAATTATTAAATAATCAAAAAAAGAATGTTCTGAACTTCTACTCGTTTTTTGCTATCAGAATGAATGCAGTTCTCACTATGTACCAGTCGTTTTGACAAGTAAAATGGAAGAAAAAATAGACAATATAAAACTATGTATGTAGTCTTTCGATTTATTTGAAGTCAAATAGTCAGTTCTTGACAAATGTTGAAACATCTTTCTATGAGAACGAATAGTAGATTTTCATTGATATTTATTTGGAATTCTTGTCAATCTTCTTTTTGAAAATATATAATGAGTTCATTAATGTAGTTGATCAAAGAATTGCTGAATGAGGCAACTAGATCTCATTTTAAGAAAAAAAAACAAAGCTTGTCAAGAGTTATGCGAGAAATACACAGAAATATTGATATAGAAAATGCCACAAGGCTACAGTGCTTTCGAGATGAAATTTGTCTAACTAAATGAAGAAGAATATTTGATGAATATTTTCGTTTTAAATTTAAATTTTCTTTAAGACTGTCCACAAGAGCTGTCTCGAGTTGGATTGTCAAATCAAAAGAAAATTAAAAAAATACATCGCTCCATATGTGTATGTAAAACAGACGATGATGATGAGAGAAGTGCAACAGACGAAAGAAAGAAAGAAGAAACGACTTTTTCGTACACAAATTGCTAGTAGAAACAACTAAACATCACATTACTTCTTTTCAATTATTCCTTCGGTTGTGTGTTTTCATTGACAAGTATAATTCTTATACAATAGTACACTAATGATGGCAACGACTAATTGCTTGAATATGATTGAGACTGCTTTGACTACATGCAATAGTATCGCGATCTTCAAACAATTTCTGTTGCAAATTCAAGGTTCATACAAGCAAGAATTCAAGTCATTATCACAGATACGAGACTATGTTTAATTAAATAATTATTTCATCAATAATTAGCAGATCTCTTAACTGAAAATATCAAGAAGTATGAAAAATCTCTTAACAAAAATTTACATAGTCAAATTCAAGTTTATGGACAACAACTCACTGCGTTCATTGACAATGGCAAGATCCATTCACAAACTGAAAGCAAGAAAACAACGACGGCTAATTGATTTTCTAGGAAAATGGTTTAATATTATTAAAAGTCATCTAATTTCCTTTAAGATAATGATAAACATTTGTGACCTATACTATGTAGAATAATTATTTGGATACCCTGTAATACTTGTTTATTTTATTCTACAAAAAAAACTATCTCTTAAAAAGGCTTTTATAAAGTTTGGGGGGGAAGGGTTCTATAAACTCCTTGATTTTATATGAAAAAAAAATTATTTGAACATCTGTAATTTTCTTTTTGTGGTACCTTTATTCTCCATGAAAATATTTTAAGTTATATAGCATTCGATCGAGAGAAAACAATTCTCTATATGCTGATGTATATTAGAACTGAAAAAAATATTAATAGAAGCTCAAAAATTTCAAAATACCGAAAGCGTTATGAATTTTGCAGATAACTTAATTTTTTCAAGTTGGATAAAATGTAAACTTAACTCAAAATACATCATTTAATTAACATTAATACTTCATATAGGTCTTCCAATAATCTTGGTTTTTAGGTAGCAAAATCAAATACTACATTTTTTTGAACGGTATAGATTTGTAGAGAATTAAACTCTCTACATAATGATATGCATTGGTTGCACAATAAGTATTTTTCTAAATATGACAAGATCCTATCCTTTCAACTACAATTTACAGTAAAGAAAGCAAAAAAAAAACTTTTTCGTTCTGCCATTTTATATACATGAGGTATTGACAGATATCTTTCTTTTCTTCATTCATCGACTTGACGTATATAAAACGACAACACGAAAAATTTTTGTTTTCTTTCTCCACTGTAAATTTTACTTGAAAAGATGTGATCTTATCATATACAGGAAAAATAGTTCTTGTGCAACCAAGCATATCATTCTGCCGAGAATTTAATTCTCTGCAAGCCTATATCGTTCGACAAAATTTTAAGTTTGATTTCGCTAACGAAAAACCAAGATTATTGGAATACCTATATGAAGTATTAATGTTAATTGAATGATGTATTTTGAGTTAAGTTTGCATTTTATCCAACTTGAAAAAATTAAGTTCTCTTCAAAATCTACAGCGCTTTCAGTATTTTGAAGTTTTTGAGGTTCTATCAATATTCTTTCAGTTCTAATACACATCAGCATGTAGAGAATTGTTTTCTCTCGATCGAATGTTATATAACTCAAAATATTTTGACGGAGAATAAAGACGCTATAAAAAGAAAATTACAGATGTTCAAATAATTTTTATTTTTTATCTAAAATCAAGGAGTTTATAGAAAAACCCTCCAAAATTTTGTAACAACCTTTTTAAGAGATACTTTTTTTTCTTCTAATCCGACCAAAAAAAATTCAAAACTGTTTTTCTGAAACTTTTTTTAATTTCCGAATCCAAATATGCTGTCAGAAAAGATTTATAGTCTTGTTCGATGATCGGCAAATAGTTTCTACATATTTTTAAGAGAACTACATAGAAAAGCATAATCCTTTTAAAATATTGTTGTGCTCTAAAATTCATGCGACTCTTTTCAAAAGTTTCTATACAGCTGAATGTAGATGATTGAATGACTTGCACATGGTTTATATATTGTATATAAACACAAAAAAAAAAGAAAAAAAATTTAAAAAAGTCAAGTACGTAACGTATAGTCGAAGTAAGAATGGACAAAGAGTGAAAGAAAATAATATATGCATAGAAGAGTGTCGATACAATTGAATGTAACATGAATGAAGGACTGGTGTATGGTTTGTATATATGATATATCAACAATGATGAGAATTCATCATCTATTTTGTCGATAGTCAGTCGTATTTTGAATAGACTGGAAAAAATAGGTACATATAAAGAATACACACTTTCTTAGCGTGCAAAATATTAACAAATAGGTATTTTTGTAACGCGCAAAATATGAAAAAATAGGCACTGTTGTAACGTGCGAAATGTGAAAAAGATTCTGTGGAAAAAACTGCAAGAAAAATTTGATACTTCCCAAACATTCCTCTGGGTTTTGGGTTCAGGCCAGTGGCGGAGCCAGGATTTTAGACTAGAGAAACTCAACCCTTCCTACGGGCTTTTGAGCTCCCTAACGAATAAAACACATGCATAAAAAATTTCGCTAGGGGACTGAACCCTTCCTTGCCACGCTTGGCTCCGCCACTGGTTTAGGTTCGCTCTTGGCTACAGCAAATGTTGAGTCAACCTTGACCAGAAAAAAGAAAGTTGGACCACCTATTCATTATCATTGTCAACATTTTTACAGCTTCAAAACGGAGTGAAATTTTGAGAAACTGATTTGAGATGTATACTC